TTGAGATGCAGTTGGACAGCCATCTGAGAAGTATGCTTTTACTGGGAGTCCTGCACTGAGCGCAGAATACAATCTGGCGGCCTTATAGGCCCCTTCCAACTCTGCTATGCTATGATTCCGTGCCTGCCATTCCTGCCATTTGGCCCACAAGCAGCATGAGCCTCCCTGAGTGAGAACCAATCCTTTTTGGGGAAAAAGCGGGGAGAAAGGAGAGGAAGAGAAGGATTCAGTTTAGACACTATGCCTAACATGGACAAGAACTAACTCTACTAATCAGAGAGATCACTGCTTTGATAGATGCTACTTGTTACTACACAATCTGTGCTGCATAGCCAGTCTAGGTCAATAAAATACTGTATCTTAGAAGCCTTTTGCTTTGATCTTCTGGAAAGATAAAAGGAAAGGGGCAACATGTGCTCATGACAATATTATTGCAGTATTCATAGATAGCCAGAGATTTACGCCAGATCTTTATTCGGCTCTAGTTCCTTGCCTGAGCTATCTATATCTATATCTATATCTATATCTATCTATCTATCTATCTATCTATCTATCTATCTATCTATCTATCTATCTATAATTTTTGTATGCCGTCCCATTCACATGAGCCTTAGGACAGCTTACATACAATAAATAAACCCAATACAAATAATACACATAAAAACCAGATTCACCCTGGTGAAAAAAACCAGATTTTAACTCCTATTATCTGCCACATCCGAGTATGCTTGTAGGGCTGGTGACAGTTGTAGGCCAAAACAATGAACAATAGCAGGACGTGTTTTTACCTCTGCTCTAGAGCATTGTCTCGGTTTGTAAGCCTGTTCCCCCCCCCCCCCCCACCTTCATGAGTAGACATCAGGGGAGCATCATGGAAGACAGTGGAGGAACACTTATGACTAATCCAATCAAGGATCTTTTGGAACTAATTTTATTTATTTTTTTCCGTCAGTGGTGCATTCATACCGTCTATTGGTGGAGCTGTTCTGAGGAAGGAGGTGCCTTTTGCATCTTGACCCTCAAGGTGAAGTAGTAGATCCTCTGTGCAAGACAATCCCACAATAATGTCATTCATTTACATTCTAATTTTGACTCCCCTTATGGGCAACAGTCCCTTTAGATGAACCTGTTGCTTGAAACGCTAATATTGTCAGTTGAAAGATGTGGACATCTGGTTTGCTCACCTGTTCATTCTTTGTCCTGATTGGTTAAGGTGGTCAGAGGAGGGCTGGCTGGATAGAGGAAGCTAAATTATCCTTTTAAAGTCACCATACATGACTGAAGAAAGCAGTAGTAACAACCTTACTGAATGTCCATTGCCACTTTAGGTAACTGTAGCCCGCTCTCAAACATGCATTCTATTCTTGGCATAGTACTCAAATGTGCGGTGGCAACCCAACGGTGTCCAGGTGATACTGTTTTTCTGGATCCATTTCTGTCTGGTTTTCGACTGGCTTGGCATCAAAATGGTATTTGTCACCTCTTAGTTGGGAGCTGGACATGAGGAATATATTCCTATTGGTTCTGCCTGAACTCTTAGCAGCTTTCAGTACCATCCATCAAATGATCTTTCTGCATGACCAACAGCTGTGGGATTTCTAGCTACTGTTTCATGGTGATTGTCATTCTTCCAGGAAGTGGGCTTTCAGGATTTCATGTTAGGAGAGCTGCTGCTTGGCACCTTGGCCTTTTGCTTTATGGTGTTGGCAATGTGTCGTCTTACCGAAGCTACTAAACAAGTATGCGAAACCACCAGGGAGGTTGTCCTAAAGGGCTGGAACGTGAGGCAGTTGATACGACGGGGACACTTGGCTCCGCTGCTCAGATTGTCAAGGACTGGATACTTTGCTTTCAGTGGTAAGGGTGGTTGGGATGCATGGGAGAATCTCTTCCCTAGCACTCCTGAGATGTGCAGCTCCCTGTGCTCAGTGTTCTCTGTCTGTCTGTCTGATGCTTAGGTGCTATCTGAAACTTTTGTAGTTTTAGCAAGTTTTTGGCTTAGCTGGCCAATGGCATTTAATCTCTTAAATATACAAGATATATTGAATACAGTTATTGTAATTGAATGTATACACAAACACACACAATGTGCACACACACAAATGTCTCTCTGAAAATTGTGTGTGTGTGTGTTATACAATATACATTATATATATTACATAAGTGGGTGCATTGTCTTGTTGCTGTGGTGGTGCAGCTTCTTCGAGGGGTTGGTGGGTGAGCCTTTTAACCTTCTCCTCCTTTTAGCGCTGTGAAATATTTTGCTCCCATCACATGGAGTCCTGCTGTAGGACAGGAAGTATTCTTCCTGTAAGGCCTCCCAAGCAACCTTCCCTCTTTTTCTATCTTCCATACATGGAGCTTGGAGTCTAGCATAACTTGGATAGTTTCTACATTTCATCTGCTGAGGAGCCTTACTGACCAAGGGCTCAGTATATGGACTGAACCCATTCAGGCTGTAGGTTTGCAGTCTCACTGGGGAATGTCTAGCATCGAAAGGCCAGCAGTGTCAGAAAACATCCTTGAGCCTCTGAGAGGGTCTCAATATCTTGCAGACCCATGGCAGATCCCCACTCTGCCCCCTGTGAAGTGTGACTCCCATTTCAATTTCCCACACTGCTTGCCTCTAGGACATCCTGATGAATTAATATGGCAGCTAGACCCAAACGTGGATTGCTCAGGGTGCTGTTTCTTTCACTACTTCAAGCCCTCAAGTCCCCACCCTTGGAATAGAGTACCCACCAGTGGACACTTTGCCCAAGTCCCCTGAAAATCTGCGACTAAGCTTGAGCATGAAAAAGAGCACTTCCAAAGTTCTGAAAGGGTGTCATACCCGTGGTTGCAGTACTTATAATTACTGTAAAGGAAGGCTGCTACAGTGACATTTTGAACAGGGAAACGATGCTGGAAAATTGGCCAGTCGAGTCCACCTGTAGGAGACAGCTACTGGGCTGAACCATCCTAGGCAACCTGGTCTGATGACACGGCCACACTGTCTGTCATCCTCGCCAGCCTTTGTCTTCGTTGGATCCTGTGAGTGTGGGGTCAGCCGCAGAAGTCTGGTGTGTCAGAGTAGGTTGCTCCCTTTTGAACCTCACTCCATAAAAATATGGATGCCTCACCTGAATTCACATTAGTTCCTTGCTTGGGGACAGATACTCAGATTTGAAATGCAGGGTTTTGCTGTCTAGATGGAAACTGCTTTGGAATGAATGGTGCTGTTGGGAGCTGCTGTTTTAAAATAATAAGCCGTTGAAATTGCCAGTGATATCCTCAGCAAATTAAACATGTACTGGAAGTGGAAATCAGGGGTCTGTGCTGCAAATTATTTTTAGATACTGCTTTGTGCAACTAGCTTTGTTTTCCTCAGTGACCATATGCTATTTTTCCCTCAAGTTTAAGACAGTATGGTTCCTATTAAAGCTAGACTTTTTAAAAAATTAAATTGCGCTGCTTTGCTAACAAGGCAAATTGACTGAATGGGTTTTTCTTTCCCTGTTTCTGGAAGTAGCTCAATAATCTTGATATACATAAAAATATAATTGTGCTGAATAACCGTTTGTTTCCAGCAGCATTCTTAGCATTAAGTGTTCTTGAAATGTGTAAAAAGTGTGTTCTTTTTAATGCAAAAAATAATAGGCTAGTTGTTCTGCATACAGGTGGTTGGTGTGGTAACAGATCTTGTTAGGCATGTGGGTGAGGAGGAAAGAAAGCAGTTGGCGCTTTAAGGCACAAGCTTACATCTCAGATGCAAGATGCTTAACAAGCCACCCTCTATGAATGTCTTGGTCTGCAATTTCTGCCACTCTCACCATTGGGCTGATGGGAGCTGTAGGCCAAAGGAGAGCAGCAGGAGGAGAATGATGTAGGCTGCACTGAGTTCTTCAGAAAAGAAAAGAAAAAAGAAAAGGAAAGAAAGAGCAGGATATTAATCTAATACATAAATATTGGGAGGAATAACAAGCCGGCCACCTGCTCAGAAGCTGGAGAAAGTCCTGCCATACCAACTGGCAGAACACAGAATCCACTGCCCATAAAAGATAGACTGGTGAAACACATCAGATGGCAGACGAAGATAAAGTCCAGGGCCGGTGAATCTAAACAGCAGGGCTAGCATATCAGACAGAATGGCGGGGCTGGATTGGGCAGAGGGCTTGCTGAGGGGAAGGTTAACTAAAAGGACCGGAGCACATGTGCAGCATTCTTTCAAACTGGCTGAGCTGCCCCTGGGTGTGTTTTCCACCTGCTTCTGTGGGAACATACCCTGGGTTCAGCCTCCATCAGGTAAAGGTGAACTGTCCTGCCATACTAGAGCTCTGCCTACAGAGGTGTTGAGGAAGGGAAAGATAAATGCCTTGTATTAGTACTATTATTTCATTGCATTTTTACCCCGCCTTTTTTCCTCTTGCAAGGAAACCTTAACAAGGGTCTCCTCCTCTCCATTCTGTTCCTCACAAGAACCCTGTGAGGTAGGCTAGGCTTGAAAGGTAGCGACTAGCCCAAGGTCATCTGTGGCTTGGTGTGAGAGCTGCATTGACCCTTGTTTGCAAAGGGATAGTAAGCCTGAATTGGAAACTGTGGTTTGATACAGGTTTGCAAACAGTTGATAGGTTTCTTGGTTTGTGGGAAACCTTCCAAGAGAATACTTCTGAACTTTGGATGTGTTTTAAGAAGTTTATGTCCCAGCGGTTTGTGTTGCTTTAGAACTCTGTTCCATATGACTGAACCCTCACAAAGCTGGACAGCCCCCCACCTCCAAATGCTTGGCTCACATGCTCAAAATATAAGCTTGTCAAAATATGGTGAGCCCTCTTTGCTGTGCAAATGCTGAACAGCTTGCTGCTGCTTCACACTGTGATGCTCCCTGGGGTGGGAAATAAGCAAAACACTGGCAGAGTCACTGGTATTTCTTGTTGAGGATACACCAGAATGCATTTTTTGCATGTCGCTGGCTAATGTCATCGTGCTTCTCTCCCCTCCCCTCCCCTCCCCCTTTGCAGATGATGAGCTAAAGCTAATGACCGACTATGAATGTGTGTGTGAAGGCATGTCATGTGGGAATGGAGTCCGCTGCAGAGGCCATCAGTGCTTTGCCTCCTTGAGCATCAATAACGGTGCTAAAGTGTACCAAAAAGGTTGCTTCCGAGTCTACGAACAAGGGAAAATGACTTGCAAAACCCCTCCGTCCTCCGATCAAGCAGTGGAATGCTGTCAAGGAGACCTGTGCAACATGAACATCACAGCACAGCTGCCCACAAAAGGTGAAAGCTTTTAGAAGTCTTTAGAAAAGTTCTTTAGTTGTCTTTGAAAGAAAGGTTCTTCTGGTGTCTTTAGGAAGGCTCCTTTTTAATGGCTCAGGCTCTTCTTGGTAAGTTTGCAGCCTTCATATATTTGGGGATTGAGTGGCATCTCTGGTTTTGGATCACGGTGGGTGACATAGAAAGATGGTGACAGCATGTGCTGAGTCTGTTTAAACAGAGCAACACATGGATGGTGGTGGCTTGAAAACCCAAGATCGTAATCTGATGGCTTCAGATTCCTTCTCTAGGGTCAGGCCCAGGGTTCGGTCCTGTTGCTGGATTAAGGGATAAGCGTGGTGAGTCTGCCGCAGGACTAGGCAATTACTTTGCGTCATGGGCACATTTAGGGTAATATCCTGGACATCTTCACAGAATGACAGCCGCAGGAGAAGAGGCAAAGGACGAGTTACGCCAAGGCAGAGGTGGGGTTTAAGTTCCAACGCACTAAACAAGTTTTTTGAATCCACTGTTTTCAGCACCAGTCCAAACCTGTTTTATAGTAAACTCATTAACATGTATTAATTTTAACACATTCAGGTTTTTTAATTTAAAGTGTGAGGCACCCAGAGGGGCCCAGTGCTGCATCTACATCTCCTAATGCCAGCCCTGGTCTAGGGCGTCCTTCCCCGGTCTGGTGCTGATCCTGATATTTTGGATGACAACTCCCAACATTTCTTACCATTGGCCATGCTGACTACTGCTGATGGAAACTATAGTCCTGCGGGTGGAGGGGAGACTGATCAAGGGGAAAAGGAGAAGCAGCATTTGCTGTCATCTCAGAGAAATGGTTGAATCAGCTTTGTTGTGTTAGAGGCGGACCTGACATTTGATTTGGTGGCCAAAGCCAGCAAACAGCTACAATGGAGCATAAACTGGGATCTGCAGATGGAAGACGGGATGGGAGCAGAGACAGCAACTGGTACGGGGAATCATAGGCCAAATGGGGTAGGTGCGTAAGAAGTGAGTAAGAGAGAAGCTGTACTGTATGGTGTACATTTGAGCAGAGACATAGAAGAAGGAATGCAAAAGACTGTATGGCAGCAGTGCAAATACCAGTCAGGGCATTTATGGCCAACGTGGCTGTCAGGGAAGAACTAGCTTTGCACAAAGCGCCTGGTGGCTCCACGTTCGCTTGCTTGAGAGTCTGGTGGGCTTTGCACTAAGGCTGGAAAGAATGATTCTGCCCCATTTGGTCCTGTCTTCCTGTGCCGCTTCCCCTAGGCCTGTTCATCAGCCAGAGCCATTCTGAAGATGCAGAATTCTGCACCTAAATTGTCATTGGGGATTTGCATGAATGTGTACCAGCAAATGTGGCCTGGCTCTCCTTGGGTTTCCCTCTTCAGCAGACTTTTGTCTGAATTGTCAGCATAAAAAGCATCTCTAACCTACTACTGTTGTTTCTCTTGTCAAGGGCATCCACTGCAAGGGGAAGCAGTGGGTTACACCATGGAAACCCTTATCATTCTCATCCTGGCAGTGGTTATGGTGCTGATAATCTTTTCTGCGCTGGGAGTGCTGATCATCCGGAAAGTACAGCAGCGCTATATGGAAAGGCTCAATTCGAGGGATGCAGAATACGGGACAATTGAGGGGCTCATAGCCTCGAATGTTGGTGACAGCACACTGGCAGTGAGTAAATCTTGTCTTGTGACCTGTTGCTATTCATGTATCAGTGCTCCCTTGCTTTAGCTTCTGTTCGGACTGCTAAGAATGTTAAGTGCTCGACGCTGCCCAAGGCCCAGTTGCCGTTTTTAGGATCTCGGGATACAAGGACGTCAGCATGGTCTTGTGTGGGCCTCTCCCCAGCCTGGTGCCCTCCAGATGTTTTGGGAGAAATTCACAGCATTCCTGCCCCAGCTTGGCAGGGGCTGCTGGGAGCTGAAGTCTAAAGCATCCCGAGGGCACCAGGTTGGCTTGTGCAACAGGATACAGTGAACTGACAAGATCAGAGTTCTAATTGCTGCTCAGATGGGAAGCCCACTGAATGATCCTGGGCAAGTCACTGTGTTCCAGTGGGGATGCATCAAATGTGCTCTGCCCTCACTGTTTCTTGGAGGAAAAGCAAACTTCACATCTGTTTCTTTATTTTATATGCATCATACTTTATTTATACATCCAGTTTTATAAGATGGCCCTGTGGATGGCTTATATGTATCAAAGTAACGGAAATGACGAAGCAAAAATGCTGTGGTAAAATCTCAAATCAGTTTAAAACTGAGGAAAATAAAGTTTTCTTTAAAGTTTTCCTCACCTTAAAAAAGCTGAGGGAATAAAATCCACTGAACTAAAATGGAATGAAGCCGCAGCCTAATTTTAAAAGCTTGTGCTGGGGCTGGGAAGGTTGACGCTTGTCTCCTGAAAGGTCCTGAAGTTTGTATTCCACAGCCGATGGGCCATGATGCAGAAGCCCTTTTGCTTCAACTAGGCAGGGGCACGTAGAGAAGGGCTTCTTGAGCCCCAGTGCCTGGGTAGCAGCAGTCCTTCGGATGCTGATGTCCCATGCAGTGAGGCGCTTTAGGGATCAATATCAGCACTTTGAACTGAGACCAAGAGCTAGCGAAGATGAGAACATACTGGCAGTGCATGTTCATAATGCTTAGCCCCAGTTATTAAGAGAAATTTAGCAAAGGCCGATTTCGCCAAAGACAAGGAAAATGCAAGTGCGACCAAGGGAGAGTTCAGCAGCCAATTTTCTTTATTGCATAGAGGAAGTCCTCAAACTTGGTGTGTGATCAAGGATCTGGCATTGTGTAAAATCTGGATCAGCCTTCCTCAACTTCATGGTTGCCATATGTATTGGACTACAACTCCTCAATAACCATACTGGCCAGAATGCTGGAAATTGCAGTCCAGCTCAGCTGGAAGGTGACAGGTTGGGGAAGGCTGGTCTGTGTCAGAATCTGGAAGTAGGACAGGAATCCCCCCTCCCCCTTTTGGTAGATGGCTTCTTTGCAAAGTAGACACAATCCAGATTGCTCCTTGCATGTGGCCCAAGTTCTTCTGTTGGTTTTTCTCCTCCTCTTTGAACTGTGAACCTCTATGCTGTCTCCAAAAACTGCACTTGTGACCCTGCACAGTTTCAAAAAGTGGGTTTGCCCGTCGTAGTGGATCAGTGCCCTTCATGCACGGCCTGGAGGCCATCAGGGGTCTGGATGCATGGAGCTGTTTGCACAGTTCTCTGGAATGCAGCCGACACGTTACTTAAGAGCACACTCAAAGCCTCAGAACTTCCATTTAGGCATAAGAGGGGCTGGAACTGTTCCTGTGTTTTGGTGCTTGTGTTTTTAACTGGAAGCCAGGAAGGAGAGATTTTCAGCTTAAGAGTAAAGAATGGGAAAAGGCTATCTGGGGTTCATTTTAGGTTTCATGCATTGCAGGTGTAGGTAACCTTTGGCCTTTCAGCTGCTGCTGGACATTAACTCTCATCAGCCCCAGCCAGCATGATTAATATTAATAATCATGGGGGTTGTGGTTCAGCAGTATCTCGAGGACTGCAAGTTCCCCAGCCCAGGTATATTGTAAGAACAGGCACATTTTATATAATTTCATAGCGCTTTTTATATGTTAAGCATTTTTAGAAGAAGGAAAAGGGACTAAATGAGTTTTGGATGAAGGAAAATGAGCCTTAGAGAGGTGGCAGCACAGCATGGTGCAGTCCTGCCTAGAGGTTCTTCTTTTCCTGCTCACAGTGGCCAACACAACCAAGCCCCTCACTTCTGAACAGGCAGTGCATGTGTGGGCAAAGGTCACAAAGAGAAGGAGATGGGCAGTGCATTGCCCAGCAGCAAAAAATGAGACTGAAGACGAGTATCTTTTGAACGTAACCTATGCAGAAGTTTGAAGGGTGTAGAGACCCAAGAGAAATGTTGAAAGCTTGGCACACTGGGCAGGCAATCCAAAGAGATGGGAAGCATTTGGAGAAAACTGAATCTCTTATCTTGATTAAAATGTAATGCTGTAAATGTTATAGTTTGGCCAAACTTGAATCCAGTGTAACGGGAGATTTTTGGACTCACTAAATCCCATGCGGTAATTCAATCATCTGCGATGCTGAACTTGCATATTGCATGGTATAGGATACGTTGTACTTTCTTGTGTTCCTACAGGAGGAAAAGGGTTGACTTAAGATTGATGTCGGAGAAATTAAAGTTCATGCTAATAGTGACTTGGTTTTGAGCACAGGCCAAACCTTGGCAGAGATGGATTCTGAAAGAAGCATTTATTTCTGAGAAATCAGTGCTTGAGGATAGAATGCAATATCCTTTAAGAGGCAAAACTCTGATAGATAATACTTACTGAACTGACTTTAAACCCTGGTAAAATAATATAGGTATTTACTGCATGTGCTTGATTGGAACGTAACCCTAGGGTTTGTTGTTATCGTTAGACTCTTTCTTGCAACTTTGCCAGTAGCTTCATTAGACTTAAGCCAGGAAGAGGGGGATGGGTGAGTGGAGGCCTTCCTGCGAATTTGCTTGGATGCCTGTCAGTACAAGGAGGAGAAAGCGGGCCTACACTCTTGTGCATCTGAAGCGGTATCAGTGGGATCTCCATCATTCCACAGGCATTTTCTCTCAGACTGACCAAATAAATTGTTTTGCTGCCACCTTGTGGCCGTATGGGAGCAATTTAAAATCACATCCCATGATGTATGATGCATAGCAGAACTTAAATGTTTGTTGTCAGATTGATACCTCTTTTGGAATAAAGAGATGCACTGTACTTTTTCAGCTCTAAGCATTTCAGTATGAACAGCATCCAGAGCATATCTCCAGTCAGCACGCAATAATAATTAAGTCCAATAATTGTGGATTTGAGATTAACAGATGTGCATGGCGTGCTGTTTTTACAAATGAACTTAAGTGGCAGTGGCTTTGAAGGAAAATTATTTCAGTGTGTTCTACAACTAATATTTTACATTTCTAAAATAGAATAAAATTATGTGTTTAGTATCTTGTTGAAAATAAGCCAGACTTTCTTTCACATGTTTTGTATGTGAGAGAAAGAATTTAAACGTATTGGGGGAATATATTTTTCATATCATAAAAAGAATCACTACAAGTTCAGTTTTTGTAATACCATTAAAATTCCATCTGGGATATACTGACATCATGCCAAATAATAAACAGGAAATAGTGTCTAATTTTATTATATCAACAAGAATAGAAGTCATCTCTAAATGGACCATTAACACATGATTGGCTAGATAGAATTTGAAGCCTGTTGCCTTTAGTAAAATTTAATCAGTTTTTCTGGTAATTAATATAAGGAACATTGTATTAGATGTGAATTAATTTGCTACTTTTGGGAATAGCAGAAGCATATGGGAATAGCAAAAGCATTGGGAATGCATATGTTCAAAGCAGCATTTCAGTTGATATGAATATAATACAAGAAAAACTATACCTGCGCTCGCACGCGCATCCCAAAGGGGAAGACTTCAGTGGTGTATATAGAGATGTGTTGAATAGGAGCGTTTCTCAGAAATTAGTAATATTCTGCATTTACCAGTTGAGCAGGCAGTTGGAAATGGTTCTTTTCCAGTGATTTCTGCATCAGGCATTCAGAGAGGCGACTGTTCCTTTTTTGACCAATTTTTAAAATGAAACCTAATGTTCTGTTTGGACTAATTCAGCTGATGTTTGTAATACAATGCAGTCCGTACTTTCACATTCATACTGAAAAATACAGTTACAGTGAAGTGAGCCCCATGGAGTTCACTGGCACTTGCTTCAAATAAGCATGCATAGGGTCGTAGTTTCTGTGGATTCTTTGGAAGCAATGTCTCTGTGCTTGTATTTTGTATGTGCTGACAGACAATGCAATTAACTGCTAAGGTTATTCCCAAACTTGGCCAGTAGGAGAAGGGATCATTGAACAGAAAGGTGGAAGAACACCTGTTCCTGCTTCACTTGAACTTTAGTACCCAACGGCTTGGTCTTCTCTCCACACAGGACTTGTTGGACCATTCCTGTACATCCGGAAGTGGCTCTGGTCTTCCTTTCCTGGTACAAAGAACTGTGGCACGCCAGATTACACTACTGGAGTGTGTAGGTTAGTCCCTGTTCTTACCTGTTTTGCAGGGGCCCTCAAGGCTGTCTGTGCATGTGGTGCAATGCATGCATTTTATTCAATACATGAATAAAAATTGAGCATTGAAGCTATAGGAAAAGTGAAAAGAATATTGATTCATTTTCCAGGGTGCTATATCCAAATGGTACAGATTTTACCATTTTTGTACATTCCTCATTCAGGGCACAATGGAGAAAATGCTTTTTAATTTTTTTTAACATTTTATTTTGAAGTAAAATTGAAAGTACAGGTAACAGGGAAAAACAACATATGTAACAATAAATAAAGAATAATAATTAAGGGGGAAAGGAAACACTTGGACACAGTCACATGAGCACAGAGGGAAAATAAGCCAGGAGAACCTGTTTTCCCTTCAATGGTCTTGCAAAGCTGCCCACTGATTACAGTCTTGGGTATATCTTGGATAACCTTGTGACACCATTACAGCAGGTTAGGATAAGCAGAATATCATTAGCTATTTGGATTATTAAGTAATATAACCCTTTCATAATTAGGGGGAAGGTATTTGCTTTTGATTGGAAGTGTGATAAGAAACTTGGAGGGCTTCCACATAGGAGATGAATGGAAACCAACCTGCCATTATGTCATCCTTCAAAACTGGGTTTCTTTGTTTCTTGGATGTGCTGTGTAAGCACGTAGTGTAAGCCTGGTTTCCCAAATTTGAGCAATCCATTGCTGTTCAGGAAGTTACTAGACAGACCTCTGATTATATGTTATGCACAACTTTGCTGCTCTATGCTAATACTAGTTAAGATGATCTTTATGTAGGTATCTTGGTTTGCTTAGGCTTGAAGTGACGAAGGAGCATAGCTTTAGAAGTGCCCTGCAGTCTAAAACAGAAGTGGCGGTTGGCAACCTGTCGGGATAACCTTTTTTCCATCTGTTGCTGGGCCAGTCTGCCTCTCCTGCAATGAATGGAATGAATGAAGACCTCATTGCTTTAGGACACAGGAATAGTGTGGATGCCATTCCAGGAGCATCTTCACATGGTGGATCACATGTTGCAGGGTCCATATCCTCCAAAAGTGTTGAGCTTTATGGAGTTTGTTCTTACATGATAAGCAATGCTGAAGCCACGTGGCTAAGTTGTTTTAACTGGGAACATCAAATTGCAAAGGTTAAAGAAGAAGAATAAACACAAGCATAACCATTCATCCATGTGTACCTGGTGCCTATATTTATTGTAAGCTGTTCTGAGACATCAGTGGTGGATGGGGCAGAAAAGTTTTAAATAAATAATCCCTGCATGATCTCAGTCAGTCTTCTGTGCTGTTCCTACCTGCACTCACCTTGACGATGTTCTTTATCCTTGTGCAGTCGCCACTGCATTGGTATGTGTTTGTGGGAGGGGGTCTGCTCACAAAGGAGGCAGCGTCTGGTTAAGGAGACTAAACAGTTAAATGCTCAGCCTCTTCTGCACTGCAAATGGAATTTTTGGACAGGAAGTCCCTTCTGTGTAACACCAGTGCCTCATAGGTGTCATGTATTCCGTTACCCAGGATTACACCTGTCACTAATGAACGTGTGCCAAAAATGATGTACCGAAATGAGAGACCAGCCTCAGACATGTGTTGCTGCCAAAGAGAGCAGGTGTCAGCGAATTGAATTAAAACTTATTTCGGACTGTTCAGGTTGAACAGAGGGTATCTAGTGTACAGCTCACGTACTACTCCTGTGTACAGTGTCATTCTCTTAATGCTAGACATATTGGTGCATTTTTGTTTCCTTGTTCTTTCATGCGCCAGGCAGGCAGCATGGTTTCCTTGTGTAAATTGCTTGGTGAACCTGCACTTAACTCCATCTGGCACAAGACAAGTCACAGTTCTGTGGAAGGACATGTACTTTGCATGCTAATGTACCCCCAGTTCCATGCCTGACCTTTCTCGCTTGAAAAGTTCAGGCTCAAGAATTGGGGAAAAGACTCTGCTTAGAAAGTATTGGGTCACGGAGGACTAGTTTAACAGAGCATCAGGCAACTTTGGGGATGCTTAAAGCTCTAAAGCCAACAGGCATTTGCCTACATCCACACCTCTTCTCAGGAGCCTCGAACAAGTTATTTGGTATTGTTCAAGCATTTCAGTGTCTTGGGTGCATCAAAACCATCAGTTGTTGTTGGTGCCTCCTTGCTAAACAGAGAGAGGTCGAAAATATTCTATTCTATTCTATTCTGTTCTGTTTTATTTTATTTTATTTTTTGTATTTATGTATGATTTATTTGTATTTTATATGCAATTTTAATGATTGTAAGCCGCCCCGAGGCTCATGCGATGGGGTGGCATATAAGTTGTTTAAATAAATAAACACAGCAGAAGCTTTCAGGTTTATTAAACGAGATTTTTCCAAGCACAGGTTTGACAAACTACATGTAACTGGTGATTATGCCTACTGTAGCTTTTCTTGCTCAGGACCAAGGAGCTCTGAGCTTAAACTTCGGGGGTCAAGCCATCCTCTTCCCAGAATTCCATTCTCCTACTCTTCTAATCTCCAATGACTGCAGTGGATACCCTTGTGCTTGGCCCTTATGTCTGTGTCCACATAATAAGGATGGATGGATGGATGGATGGATACCTTTTCCCTCTGTAAATCAGCCTGCAGAGGAGGGTGGGTGGAATTTTGGGAAGGAAGTGGGAGGTGGGGGGGGGTGTGATTCCAACCTGAATTGGGACCCTAAGCACTTAAACACATTAAACTGTTGCACTGTTACCTAATTTGCATACCACACCAAGGCTCCTCGGGGTGTTTAAGCCATAATGAAAAATGGAGTGTGGTGGGCAAGGAGCTTCCATGTCGGGTGGACATGGCCACTGTGGATTATGTAAAGATTAAACAGCTCCTGATATAACCCTCAATCTATACTACAGTTATGCAAGGGTTGTTTAACCTTGAAATAATGCACAGTAGTAAGGTTTGCATGGCATGGCAGCTTTCCAGTCTGTTCCATTTTCAAAACGTTCCCTAATACGCACTGCAGCTCAACACAGCTTGAACAGCCCACCGTCTGTGAGCAGCAGAAGGTTCTGTCTGGCCTTGGATGCTCCTACCATAAAGAGGTGATGAGGATGCAGAGATTCCTGGACCTGCCTGCTCTCTCCGTGCGCATGCGTGCCGACTCTCGCTCGCTCTGCCACCATCCAGCCATGTGCTGAACTGAGACTCTTTACCTGAAGTCTGAGTGTCACGACACTTTGTAAATATACAAATGAAGCAAAGGCTTTAACATTACAGACCCCAAAAGCGTTTGATGTTAGGCACACTACTTTCCACTCAATGAAGGACAATTGATGAAATTCCTTGTATGTGTTTGTGCTTTCTAGGGAAAGGCCGATATGGAGAGGTCTGGAGAGGACAATGGCAAGGCGAAAATGTTGCAGTCAAGATCTTTTCTTCCCGAGACGAAAAGTCCTGGTTCAGGGAAACTGAATTATACAATACTGTGTTGCTGAGGCATGAAAACATTTTAGGTGAGAAGATAAATAGTGCTGCTTTGTATGTAGGCATCCACTGAACACAGTAACACAAGGCTTTTTGTTCTTGATAAACTACGATTGTGTCCCTTTCAGAAAACCAAGGGAAACAGAAGTGCCAGAGTTATGGGGGTACTCTTTTAGACAGAGAAGGCAAGAGCACAACCCCCTGGAAAGCCACATCGCTGCCTCTTTGGGTGTTTTATGGACAGCCAGAGCCCTGCTGTAGTACTCCTGTTGCGGGAAACCCACTCGCTTCCTGGCCTCCCTTGCACAGGCAGGATCCCCTCTGTCCCAGAGCCTCACTCCTTCCCAAAAGCACCATGTATCTCCTCCCTCTGTGCCTGGAGCGATTGCTCCATAGGTGAAAGAGCTGCCTTTTCCCGCTCAGTGCCTGAGAAGGGCAGCCGTGTCCTTGTGGAGAGGTCTGGGAAGGGCATGGGCCAGTGGCAGAAGCTGGCGGGCCGGAACTGCCTCCCAGGCTGGGGTTCCCCGTTCCTTGAGTACAGGAATGGGCATGAGGGCAGGGCCACACACAGAACGGTTGGCCGGGCTTAGCCTAGGAGGTCTGCAAGGCAAATGAAGGTATTTCACAGTGAACTTGTTCATCCAGAACACCACATCATGGGTGATCCAACCCAAGAATTAGGTTAACTCCGAAAGAGCCCAGCTTTTCCCGGATTCCCCGTCACATGAACGATCTCCTAACAGGGCAACTGCAGGTTGTTAATTGAGCAAGAGGAGCCCACCGCAGGCAGTGGTGCTGCTAGTTTGTGGGATGGTGGCTTTAGATGCCCATTCGTCAAAAACAGCAGCAACAGAACAGAACAGTGGGATTCGGTGGGGCACCTCTGCTGGCCTTGTCTTGGGCGCAGCAGGGCTCCCCGTGGCACGGAGGCGCCTGCTGACACTCCTGTGGTCAGGTTCATGCTGCGTGTGTCCTGCCTGGCAGGGAGTGAGCCACATGGGACTCGGCACAAGTTCGCGCTTCCTGTGCACCCAGCGTCGCCTTCCAATCTGATCCCGGTTACAGCTGCCTTGCAACACATCGAGGGCTGCAGAAGCACATTTTGGGCAGCTTTCGTCCCTTTGGGAGCCTTTACAGCATGTTCTGGGGTTAGAATGGTCCTATTCTCTTCATTTCTAAACCAATTCTACTTTAGAGATGAGTGCACATCAATAGCTGAATCAGCTCTTTTGATATTTTCCTTTGCCAGCACTGGAAAAATTCTCATTTTCCCCCTCCATTGACTTAGGACCAGGTCAAACATCACCGCCTCTGCTGCCGCCCCCTCCCCCCCGCCCCCATTTCTGAGAACTAGCCCTGCTAGGTTTCCAGTCTGGTGCTTGAACAAATGTAGTTGGTGTGCTAGGGATGCACATGAACATTAGGAAACAAAAGAGAATTCGTAGCAAATTCTCTGATCTCAGATACTTGGGAGCTTGTCTCTTGGGGAAATGCAACCAGTGAACAAGAACTCTTACTTAAAGCACTGTGTGTTGATGCAAACATATACAGTAGTCCCCCAAAATTTGTGGGGGTTACGTTCCTAAAGCACCCGCAAATTGTGAAAAACTGCGAATTTGGTGCTGGCGATGGGTGCTGGCCGCCAAGGCAGTGCGGGCAGGAAGCGTGGGCCGGGCTGGGCTGGGGGGCGGGTGCACACACGGGGCAGGAGAGGCGCAGAGATCATTTTGTCCGAGCGAGTCCAAACTTGGAGGAAATGATCTCCTTGCGAGTAAGCCACCGCACGGCAAGGCGCCAGCTTACTCACAAGGAGATTGGCTTGGATTCACTCGGACAAAATCCCGCAAAAGACTGAAGCCGTGAACACTGAACCGCGACTTCATGGGGGTATACTGTATTCAGGATTCACTGACCTGGGGATGATGCAGGTCAGTTGAGTGAGAAAGGCCAATATTTGAGAATCTTTTATGTATCAGCCAGTATTGGAGGAACAATAGCCATGCCATTCAAGGATGTTAGGCAAGTCATTCAGGCAGACTGTCTTAATCTAGCTTGCTTACCTTACTACCATTAGTTACACAGTGACCTGGCTCATTTATTGCACCAACCATGGGTATTGTATGCTACCAATCGGCAGGAAGGAGTAGGTCATTGTTGGATTTACCCTGGCTTGTTTCACCCCTGTACAGCCCAGAGTGTTCAAATCCAGATGTCACACCAACAACCTACAAATGGGGTGTTTATAGGTTGTTAATTGAAAGTGGAAGTGAGAAGCACACCGGAGACAGCACACTCCCTCCCTCCTGATCGCCCCTGCCAACTTGTGGCTTAAACAGTCCTTAATTTGATGTTCCATGTGAACCAGCCCAGTGTGATTCAAATTCAGCTGCTTGGGTTGTTGTTGTCTTTCTTGATCAAGTTTGGTATAATTCCAGGAAGAGTTTAGGAAGTGGAAAGCATCTGTTAGGTGTCCTAATCCTTCTGACCTGCGTTTCCTCTCTTTCCTTTTCAGGCTTTATTGCCTCGGATATGACCTCTCGCAATTCCAGCACGCAGCTGTGGCTCATCACACACTACCATGAGATGGGCTCTCTATATGACTATCTACAGCTCACCACCCTGGACACAGTGAGCTGCCTGCGAATAGTCCTGTCCATAGCTAGTGGCCTTGCACATTTGCACATAGAAATATTTGGAACTCAAGGGAAGCCTGCCATTGCTCATCGAGACCTGAAGAGCAAAAATATCTTGGTTAAGAAAAATGGGCAGTGTTGCATAGCGGATCTTGGTGAGTAGGCTTGGGAAGGGGCAGTTTTAAAGTTCTCAGATACAATTCTTGAAGGCCTTTCTTTAGCTTCTGTTACTCAGAGCTGATTTGGGGGGAAAAAAATCTGCATCCACTAGAGGGCACTTAGAATTTTACTACAGTTTTAGTACACTGTTTTAGATCTGCTAAACCTATCCTTAGAGAATGTCTGCAGCACATCAGTTTAGAACTATGTGGTGTGGCAACTAAAAAATAAACTTGGGAGAGGAGGAACCCAAAATGGGTTACTAAAAGGAAGTGTTTGTATTTAAACAGCAACAGGAGCGCTTATCACGTAATTCCTGCTTTGAAAAGGCAGCCTAGAGTCCTGTGATGCCGCCATCATGCAGAGATGCAGCTTTGCCAACCCACTACTTCCATCAAAACACTGGCTTGGCTGGTCCATGGAAGGGGCAGCAGGAAGACTTGCAGCCCCCCTCTTGGATCGGCAAGCTAACACTTCTGCCTTGCTCTGCCATGCTGCACTGCTGCTTTCCCCCAAGCTGAGTAGACTAGGACAAAACCATTCCAGGGCCTGGGGATTGGACAGTGAGGCTGCATTCCTAGGTCACCACGGCCTCAGATGCTGTTCTTTAGGACCACGTCTCCAACAATGCAGCCCCAGCCTCCTTGAAGCCTGCAATGGCCCTGTTAGCCCAGAATGCAAAGCCAACAGCACACAGGCCACAGTGAACAGCAGGTCTGTGTGCTGCTCCTCTCCCTCTGCTCCAGTGCAGCCACAAGGATATCGGAAGCTTCTGCTCCCATTTCAGATGAATCGCAGTTTACTGCTACATCCAAACCTTAAGCAGGCTGGTTGCTACTAACCATATTTAAGATCAAGCCCAGCTCTGTCCAGTTTGGCTCATATAGGGTGGGGGGAAAGTTTCCAGGCCACCCCTCATGGCTGTAAGAGAGTGAGGGAGCAGTGCGTCAACCTGGACTTGCCCGCTGTACTTCAGCATGACCTCCAAACCAGCCCGTGATCCTCACACTTCTATCCCCCTTTCCCCATGTGGCCGGTTGGTGGTTCTCTCCCCACTTTCTAGATGATAAATGCTGCTTGCTTCGTAGCTGAAAAATATGTGCAACCGTAACAAATGAGTTCGCCTTGGGCTGAAAGACCGCCCACCTCCAGCAAGCTGTTCACTTTTCAGCTTCCATTTCAGCAGGAAATATCACTCACTTGCCTTGCCCAGGTAATTATGGAGATGAATCAGGTAACTGCTGAAAATGAGCTCAAGTGTTACAGAAATGATTAATAACAACGGTAAGTCTACCTCTCTTTGTGGTTACAGGCCTTGCAGTCATGCATTCCCAAAGCACCAATCAACTGGATGTGGGGAACAACCCCCGTGTGGGTACCAAGCGCTACATGGCCCCGGAAGTCCTAGATGAAACCATCCAAGTGGACTGCTTTGACTCATACAAAAGGGTCGACATTTGGGCGTTTGGACTGGTCCTTTGGGAAGTAGCCAGGCGGATGGTTAGCAATGGTATGTAGATACTAATTCTAGACCATGTTCCATTAATCCATAAGAAGAATCAGCCAATACATGGAAAGCATCTATTTGTCTTCCTGGAAGAAGATGTAACTCTGTACTGTACACACGTGTATGCTCTCTAAGGAGTCTGAATTCCAGCCTGCTTTGCAGGATTTGAGCTGCTGTCGTGGGTGATATCCCATATTGCAAATATCTTTTCTGCAGATGTGAAAGTAGGTATTTGCTGAATTCCAAATAAAATTCCAAAGCTAATGCATTAGAATGGCATTTAACATCATCAGGGCATGATGTTGCAACTCAAGTGGGCCAAAGAAGTCCACAGCTCCACACTTGCCTTATGAGTCAGGTAGGCATTGTACCCATACACTGAGGGCCCACACCACACTGAAGGGGCAGCCAGAATGATCAGGGATTGGAGAAACTTCCATAGAAGGAAAGGATAAATTAAAACTTCTGAACTTTCCTCATTTAAAAAAACAACCCCCCAAGGGTGTGGTGTGCGGTGGGGGAGGCATGCTAGAGGCTTATACAGTTAAGCACAATGTAGAGGATGTATAGACAGGTTCCTTTTCCTCTGTTATAGGAGTAATAAATCTGATGACCAGCTGATTCAGGAGAGGCAAAAAGAACTTCCTTATGCGGTGCACAATGTATGGAATTCATTGCCAAATGCATGGTGAATGGCTTAGATGGCTTTACTAGCGGATCAGGCAAATTCAGGATGGGTCTATCAATAGCTTTTAGTTATGTGGTGCTGAGCGGGAAAGGGTGAGTGTACTACCCGTCATGTCTGCTTTTGCTTGGCCCACAGCAGTTCCATTGTAGGTTGCTGAGCATGTAAGCCGCCCCGAGGCGGTTGTAAGCCGCCCCGAGGCTTTGGCGAATGGGGCGGCATAAAAATGTTTTAATAAATAATAAATAAAAATGTTGACTAAATCCAGGTCATTGGGTTGTTCGGGGGCGATACCACCCAGCCATTTACTCATGATTTGTTTTTGGGTTGTTCTTCAACTATGGACTGTCACAGTGTGCAGACTGGCCCTTTTAATAATGTTTCCTGAGTAGCAACAGTGGGAGTGGCTGCTGCCTTTATGGCCTGCTGGTGGGTTCCTTGAAGCCTCTGGTTGGCTAATGTGGAAGAAAAGGAGGCCGGCCTCATTGGGATCTGAACTGGGGATGGTGGTATTGTGGTGAGCAGAACAATGCAAGCATCAAGTTCGTATGTGGTCACTTCACCAAAAGGCACATTTCATGTTAGGCACAGTCAGAAGAGGAACAAATGCAGTGGGGCCAAGATCATGCTGCCTTCATCCCAGTTCCAAGAGTGATGTGAGTGCTCCTGGAATTCTGTGTACAGTCCTGATTGCTTCACCTCAAAAAGGATATTTTTGGGGTTGAAGAGGCAACCCAAATGAACAAGAAATTAGTCCTCTGTGGGAAAGCTTACAGTTTAGAAAATGACTTAGAAAGCAGACAAGTGTACAGGGAGAGGCATGATAGAGATTATACTTCTCCACAAAATTGTGGGTGTTGTGAAGAAGTATCTCATAAGTTTGGGACAGGGTCATCTTATAAAGCCAAATGGTAAGAGATTCAGGACTGATAAAAGAATATACTTTTTCCGCACAGCACATTGGTAAACTATGGAATTCACTACCACAAGATGTAGATTGGCTCCCAACTTGGCTTATTTTAAGGGGATTTGATAGATTCGTGCCTGTGAAAGCTTCTAGGCATGATGGCCATTTGCTACCTTCACTTTGGGCTGATGCTCTTCCCCACCTCATGGATATGTGCTGCAGTTCTTCTGATATGCAGATATTTCATTCCTTGAAGGAACACATCCTTGAAATTTTATGGAAATGATGTAAGGAGCATTATGCTATTTCTTTGCCTTTGTACTGAACATGCCTTGTTAGGTGGAGGTGGAATGGAGGAGTTTTGGACAGACTGAACGTGATGGCTCTGTTTTATTTGGTGACCTTGCTGGAATGGGCTGTCATGGAGGATCCATTTTGGCGGCATTGGGCCAATGGCATTTCACACCACGTGTGAGTTTTTTGCTCTTGTGCCATTGGCAGTGTTTTCCTCCCCCAGCAATGCTTCCATTGGTAAAGCTGTTTTTAGATTAACAATACAATGTATGTTGATATAGAAAATAAGTTAGTTGGGAATGCTGGGAGTTTTAGGCCTCCTCTTTTATCAAAACATTGTGCCTGAACATGGTTACAATAATTTACTGAATCCTAATAAATGTTCCTGAATAAGGAAGTGAGATTTTTTTCAAAAAAGAGAAGGGGAGCAACCCTCATGGGGAAACTTAGTGCAATACGCATATAATTCCTTCATGTTTACTGGCTAACATCTTAGTTCATGGATGTGTGTAATAAACCTTCAATAAGCTTGTTTCTCAATTCTTAGTACTCATGGGGGTTGTAGTTTGTGTCACTTTGAGACCTCAGAGAATTTAATCTATTACGCTGAGGTTGTTCTGCTGAGTCCTCAACTTTGTCTGGAATGGTTTGCTAAAACTTGTTCACTTAAAACAATCATCTCAAGTGCTGTGGAGCTAGAAACTGAATTGTACCCTCTATTAACAAGAACTATTGTTGGTTTTGTTTTGTTTGCTTAATTGTGCAATAGAACAGTATTTCATATTCCCCTGGAAATGTTCAAGATTAGGAAAAAATTGCTTTGCATTCTATCATTTTGACTGATCAGAGTTGGGCAAACTCTAGTAACTTCAGTGACCTGACTCACACATAACTAACCCATGGCTTGTTTAAACCATGGTTTGTTGCCCCATTCAGTTTTTGTCTGTCAAATAACTGAACAAAACATGGCTCGATTTTTTTTCCAGTTTCTAGACTGCTTGATTCCCTTCTGCATCATCTAGCACCTCCCTCAGTCCTAAATTTAGTGCTGTAGTGCTGGAACATAGAGTGGCCAGCACAAGCTGCCCAACAGAGCAGGTCTGCTTGCCATTCAGTTGGAGTACCCTCATCCCTTCTTGACATGAGAGAAAGATTAAGCAAGGAGGAACACCTTCCAGCTGAGGGTTTTGATGGACTGGGCAGAGCAGGCAGACAAGATACATCTGAAAGTGCCTCTGTCAACCAGAATGGCCAGTAGCTTTCACCTCCAGTGAACACCGGAAGGAACCTTTAGAGCTACAAATACGGCAGCTGAGAGATTGAGAGCAAACCTTAGGGCATGGGTGAGCAGTCTATGGCCCTTTGGAGGTATTGGCCTAGAACTCCCGTCATCCGTCATCCTTTCCTGTGCTGGCTCTGCCAACCTGCTTTATCCTGTTTATTGCATCAATAACGGAATTGCTTGATAAGGCAGCACTTCCATTCATTATTTATTCCATTCCATATTTATTTCAGTGATTTATATGCCACAGACCCTTCCAAGACATCTTTACAAGTAGGATAGAAATATTGAAATCACAATAAAATATTAGCAGTTTTAAACAGATAGGATCCTTCTCATGGGATGGTTGGTGAAGATGGCACCAAGGAGAAGGGGGAGAGTGCAGCTGGAACAGCAGCAGAAGCCCACGAGTATCTGATTTGTGTTCCTCCCTGTAAAGCAGCTGTTTGATGGCAGATGGCCTTGTGTGTCAGGTGGGGCTGGGGGAGGCCAGCTGTGTTGTGCTTCCAGTCAGCTGTCCCCAACCTGGTGACCTTCAGAAGCATTTGGACTGGAACTCCCAGAAATCCTATCCAGCAGGGCCATTGAGTGGGAATTCTGGGTGCTGCAGTCCAAACACATCTGGAAGGCTGCTTTAGGTGATAAGCCCATGGACAGTTCTGCTATATTCACAGCATCCTGCCATGTTTATGGAAGGAAGAGCAGCACTACCAAATTTGCAGCCACACTGGCACCATGAGCTTGGGACCTCCAGATGAGGACCTTCTTCCTTTAGCTTTGACAACAACGGTAGCGGCTCCTCCCTTTTTTTCCTTGCAGCCCAAGGGAAAGGAGACCGTTGGAAGTTTTTCCTGCATTGCTTGCATAACGAAGTGCATCCTGTTAGAAGGAAACAGAGTGGCGATGCGGGGAGACTATACCTCTGATTCATGCAGTGAGTTTAATTGGCCTCCTTATCGCTGGGGAGAAGCCATTTTTAGCAGGAACAGCTCTAGAATTTTGCTGCTTGCCATATTTCACGTCTTGACAGGTGGAGAGTTGAATGGGGAGCCCTCCTTTGCTGGAGCTGTTGCTTGTGCTTGTGCTCTCCCTCTTGGCCTCCAGGGAAGGAGCAAGTGCAGGAGAAAGAGGAAGCACAGGAGCAACTGCTGCCTGCTGGCCCGCCTCTCTTCTGGTTTTATGGCCATAATCCTTTCAGAAGAGCTTGGTGGTGGACCCCAGAAGCTGCCAGTCCAGCTTGCAGTCCTTCCAATCTGGCCTTGGTTTTCTCTCTCAGTGTCTAGAGCAGCTAGGAGGATTCTCATCTGGCGACATCTACTACCAGAAGGACACTTTGGTGATGGGGTCAGTGGCTGGACTCCATCTGGGACAGTGGTCAGGCACTGAATAAATACTAGGGGCAGTTGGGTCAAATCCAAAACTGGTTGGAGGTCAAAGCAAAAAGTGGGGAGGGATACCCCTTTTTTCTCAATCATCCAGTCATTTGCCCATTGCCATCCTCTTTTTCTCTTGCAGGTGCACACACAACCTCCCTCCATTTCACTCACCATCACTGGGAGATAGGATAACACTCCCACATTGTCTCTGCCCTCCATTCTCTTTCCTTCACACCCCTCCACCTGTGCTTCTCCCTACCCCGCCATTTTGCACATGTGTCTTCCAGCCACATCCTCCCCATCATAGTCTCCTTGCAAAAATGATCTGCTTTCCCCTGTTGACAAACTTGCCTCTGTTCGGTGGGAATCGTTCCCACTAGCCATTCACCAAAGAAGAGAACAGCCTGTTGCTTCACTAGCTGTTCATTTTCCTTCCATGTTGGTTCCAGCAGAAAAGGCTTCTCTTCCTTCCAGTCTCCCAGGGAAGAAAAAGTGTTGAGAAGGCAGCAAACTTCCACAGTGGGGAGTAAGGATTGATTGGGGCACCTATATGGCTGGGGCACCCATGCAGGCTGCCCTGGAGGCCTCCAAGAGCTGTTCGTAGCCCACTGATGGCCTGCATGGGATCCTGGCCCTTAACGCTGTTTATTGCTGATTTTGTAGATTATTTTTTGTGGGTTCAAGGACCCTTTTCTTTAAAATAATGCATTTTCTTGTGGTGGAATAGAAGGGAAGGATGTCAGAGTTCATGATGGCAGTGTTATGACAGTGTAGATCAGGGGTTATGGCTTTCTTTAGTAGCTCTGGAGCCAAAAGCAGTCCCCGAGGCTCCATAAAACTTTGGCATTGTTAATTGTGTGCATGTGTTTTAAAGGGATTAGAGTAAAAGCCAGACAACTGCTTCTTCTACAGTAATACAGTGGACAGCTTCAACTATGCACATGAATGTTCAGTTCTATAAATGCAAGTCTCCTGTAGGATTAAAACTGATGCCAAGCATCTGATAATAACTGATAATCTGAAAGGGCTTTACAAATATTTCTTTAAAATGCCTTTCAAGACACATTGCCCTCAGATGGTTGTGTACAAAGGAAGAGCATAAAACATGAATATAAAACTCCTAAAAGTGTCACATTGTTATTAATGTACAGCAACAGATGATTAAAGTTAGTCTTTAGAGATCTTCTAAAACGTACAATTAATCATGTGGACCACTTTATAATAATCCTGCCTGGATGCAACCAAAGTGTACATCTCAGTGGCAAGGTCTGCTTTCTTCAGATGGGGATTGAGGAGTCAAGCCAGTCAACATTGGTAAAAAGCCCTGCTCTATAGTGAGCATCAAATCTAGGAAAATTTCCAGGCTGGTGGAACATCATACACAAAATGACCTGGTGGACCTCTTTGGGAAATGGTTCCACAGACTGAATGCTATAACCAAAAAGTTTTCAGTCTGTTTTAACTAATTTTGATTCCCTATAGGGAGCAAAGTCTTACCACAAGAAGCTGTTCCTTAAGGGATGTTGAGCCCATCCATTTCAACATTTGAACCAGCACTCTGAATTTTTTCTGGGAGCTGGTCGGAACTAGCAAAAATGCACAAGAATAGGTAAAGAACATTAAAACCAAGGGAAGGAAAACATGGTAATTGGATAAAATTTATATGGAACATATGACGATTCATTAAAACCCGTATTTTAATGTGTAGCTTTAATGTCAAGTATGTTTGCAACAACATTTTGCAGCATAATTTGTCTACTTCCCAGATCATCTCTTGAGTTTGTAGCATCCTCTGAATGGTGGTTTTATAGGGGGGAAAATAGCTTTGTACCATGTATGACAGAACACATGTCCTTTTGGTGGTAAAATGATTTTAACCTTGTATTCTGTGTAGGTAAAAACATCCTCAAAGATGCACTCATTGCATCTCCATTGAACTTGCTTGGACAGATAACTTTTAATGTGGCCTATACCATGGCTTGTGAGGTTGGAAAGGCCACAGTGACATAAAAATCAGTTTTCAGAACCAATATTCCATCCTTCTCTTTGTATATTGCTCATCTGCTCCTTGTTTATCACTAATCTGCAAAAGTTATCATTAAGAGCATTTCTGAAGAACAAAGATACATGAAGAACAAATTCATGGAAATGAATTGTTATATACACAGTTTACTACACTTCACAATGGATAAAATATGTTACTGTACCTATCCCTCATAAATTAATTTGATTCACAAATCCTCTCTAATTTGACTAATAGTGTACATGCACTGATCTACTCAGAGTGAGCTTGAAGTGATTAAGATACTTCCAAAATAGAATGCATAACTTCAACTGCAGATACCCTGGTGATTTTCATGGCTTAAGCACATGATGCAAAATGTCCCTTGTAGTAGCAGCTGGCAAGCAGCTGTCAAGCTCCTAATGGATGGTTGTGCACTACCTGTTCTTCACCGCAAGATGTTTTCTAGAAAGTGTGGACCAGCCAGTTGCCTGCTGTTGAATTGGGGATCACCCTGTTGCTTTATAAATTACTATCATAGTCCTCAGCTTCTCTGGAGACACTGTGTTAGGGTAAAAGCTTTATTAGGCCCACTCAGAGTGAAAGAGAAGTGTAAATATTAAGAACTTCAGATTGCTTCTTCAGGCAAGAAACCATGTATACAAAAATACATCTGCAACCTTGATACTCACTTGATTTGCTTCTGTACATGTGTTTTTGTTTACAGCATAAAGAACTGCATTCTAACCCACAGGGAAAGCTGACTGATTAATGTCTTGATTGTATTGTGCTATTTTCATTTCATAATATCGGTGAGATGTCACAAGTGGTTTGCATTGGCTAAGCTTAGTAGTATTGTAATGATATATCGAACTTGGGCTTGTTCTCAGTGCAACAACATGATCTATTGTGTGTTTGTGGTTGTAGGTATTGTTGAAGATTACAAGCCGCCATTTTATGATGTTGTTCCTAATGACCCTAGTTTTGAAGATATGAGAAAAGTTGTCTGTGTGGATCAGCAAAGGCCAAACATTCCCAACAGATGGTTTTCAGACCCTGTAAGTATGCTAGTCCATAATATCCTGTCATATTTTCTTTTCTTCTTTTTATTTTCTTAACATATGTTAAAACTCTTTGTTGTTAAAAAAAACTCGCCTGCTTTTTCTTCCATGTTTAGACTCTGGGCTAGACTAGCTGCAACAGCGGGAAATCTATTTGCTCAGACATCTGTCTGTTCTATTCAAATATAAAGCAACCGCACTCTTCTGTTACCTTTGGCACTTTCACTCTAGCTAAACTCACTTTTAATACCAAAACGTCGCTAGGAGAAAAAACGGGAGTAAGATGATGGACCACAGGGAAATCTTAAGCTTCCTGTGCTTTTTTTTATAATGAGAAAGACCATATTCTCTAGTCTGGTCCATGGCTTGCAAGTCTCTCTCTCCCTTCATGTAGCTGAGTCCTTTTTGTCGTCATTGCTAAGTTCAGCAAAAACTGAAGATCAAAAATCCAGTTAAAAGTCTGAAGTTTGAAGCTAAAATTTGAAAAGCCTTTCAAAATGGGAAGTGGTCAGAATTGCTTCTGTTTTACACACAAGTTGTTTTTCCCCACTGCCCCCAGTGTAGAATATCTCTGATGGGACACTGACAATGGCTGGCTGGTATTTACAATCCAATCTTAAGTAATGATGATAATTTTCTATGAAAGTTATGATCTGCAGTATAAAAAAATATCTATCCTGAAAGACAAGGAGCGCAATTTAACACTGAGTTGCCCTTGAACTACAGTGCTGAAGTGAAGTATATGGTGCCCTTTGTCACTTGGCCAAATGACCCAAGACCACTGTGTGTCCCAACAGTGAGACCCATCTGGTCAAATCCATCAACCAGAAAAGGAAAAGCTCTCAGGAGCTGTTTCCACCATCAGTTCACCAGCACTGCAAAAAAACACTGCTGCAACTATAAGTTGCCTTGGAACATTAGCTATTTAGACTTGCTTACTGGTTTGCTCACATGCTTCCTTTAGGAAAGCTTGGAAGACCCACTTGTTTCCACTAGTCTACCCATAGTAGACTAGTTTTATTGGTCATTTTTGTTTTTACCGGTAATCTCTGACCTTATAGAATTTCATTGACTACAAAGCTACTGGTTTTTATTATATCCACTTAATGTGATTTTCTGTGTCACCTTGGGAGCACCCTGCCCTTCAAGACAGTTTAAAAATAATTCTAAATAAATATGCCTCCCATTTGATCATGAGGTAAGGTGTAAAACATCTGGAAGGCAGGCTTTAAAAGTATTCTTCTAGGAAGGTTAAAATGCTGCCACTCAGACAAAAGTCCATTCTTGCCATGAGAAGAATAATTGTTTTGGGGGCATGGGGACTTGACTATGTAAGTATACATCACATGCAAGGGTTTCCAAAGTAAACGCCTCTGAAAGATAGAAAATTTAACATAGAGAAGAAATGAGGAGAGAAGAGTCATTTTCCTGTCCACTTTGTTTCTGCTTCACTGAGTACCCTCCTTTCAGGTTCACTGGGAGAAAGCTAGAATTTTTTTGTGGAGAGAGCAATTTCAGGGTTTGGAGCAGAGAAACAGCTTTGTCTCCCCTCCCCATTGCTTCTCTGCCTTAAATCCACCCCTCTGTCGTAAGAAACTTTTGCAGCAAAGTCCTGTAGATATCTACTTATAAGTAAGTCTCGTGTAGTTCAGAGGAACTTAACCCCAAGTAAGCGAGTATCAAACTGCAGTATTAAAGGTCTTTAATATAAAATGGTATTTGTCTGTGCTGCATAGTTAACTCTTCAGTTAACTGGAAAACAACAATAGAGAAGCAAGCCTCCTGACAGTACTTAATCAAAAGTGCTTTGCAAAAAACCCAGCAGGTTTCAAATCGCACCTTTCACAGTGAAAAAGTAAAATGTCTTATTCTTTGAGAAGGAGCTCCTTTCAAAATTTTCTGCATTTTTAAAAACTTTGAAATGCTTTGAGATTGTTATTGCATTCATTTATAAGCACTCCTTAAATGAACAGCTTAAGACCTAATTTGTGGTTGTCCCTCCAAATTTTGATACTCCCATCCCCCTCTTTTTTGGGGAGGATATGTTCTTAAATGATGGACATTTTTAGATCCAGTCTTCCTTCCCCTGTAAAAATGTTTTGATTCCTATGTGGAGTACATGTTTTTCTTTTCTCCTTTAAGACATTTTCATTTATGTGATTAGGTCCATCTTCTTTGAAAATGGCGCAGCCCTATGGATGGTGTTCTAACTGCTAGGAAGCCTTCCAAGATCCAGGCTGAAGCTTGGAGAAGCTGTGGAGCAATCTTTGCATACTGGTTCTCCATCCTTAACTATTTGGGGCATTTTGGGGGGAAGCAAGGGAATGAAGGAGACTCAGCGTAGCTCATATTCTGGCTTCTTTGTGCCTGTTGCTTTCCTATCCACCAGAATGCCCTGTTTCCTTCTCCTTTGAGGTTTTTGGTTTCTACTGGCTACAAGTACATGGATCTCTGACCCTCCAAATTGAAGTCAGAGCACTGTCTCCAATCTTGGCTGTTTTCCTGAGCAATCCTGTGGTCCCAGAGACCATGTGATTGTTCTTTAACTTTTAGAACATCTTTTGCCCTCCCCTATTAAGCTAAGGTTTGTGTTACCCTTTCTAGCATTTTGTTCCTTTCCCAAATGCTTCTTTCTCCAAGAAACTGTAGAAAGATAAAGAATTCTGATGATGGGCTCACCATTTCAAAGGCATGCCATGCAGTGTTTATATTTTTGCCAATGTAGAGTCAACGTAGAGTCGGAAACAAAATACTAGCTGCAGCTAGATATATGTTCTGTGCCTATATTAAAAGGTCTCCTCATGGAGACTGCTCTGTAGAGCAAGCCATTTCTGTGAATTGGCTTTTCCACAGAGTGTGTTTTTGCAGTGCCTCATGGAAACTACTAAAAAGAGTACATGGTGTGCTGAAATCGTGGGCATTTGCTGAGCTGCTTGAACCAATAGAATGACATGCTCAGACAGTGTTTCCATTTGAATCCGCCTCAGTGGCTGGCACTCCCAAAGGTCTCTCAGTGGCTCAGTTTCTGTAATGTGTGGTAGCCCTAGTTTTAGAAGCTGCACAGTAATTTGGACCCCCATCTACGGCTTGGAGCTGCCACTGAATTCTGTTTGCCATTTCCTCAATCCCCCTTTCTCCAGCACAGTCTTCTCTGACAACAGAGCAAGGCCGTAACTGCTGTGCTTCGTCAATTGAGCTGAATCCTGCTTTCTCATTCAGCTTTGTGCTGGCTGAGCACAGATTCTGGTCTGCCGATTCAGGTATCATGCCTGCCTTTGAGCTTCTTTGAGCATCTTTGAAGCTACCTTTAGCTTCTTTGAGCATCCTGTCTAGTCCCAGGAACAAACACTTTACAGCACTCCAGTGATGCACCTTTGGATTGTGGTGCTGGAGGAGGCTCCTGCGAGTCCCTTGGACCGCAAGGCGATCAGACCAGTCAGTCCTAGAGGAGATCAGCCCTGACTGCTCTTTAGAAGGCCAGATCCTGAAGATGAAACTCAAATACTGTGGCCACCTAATGAGAAGGAAGGACTCCCTGGAGAAGAGCCTAATGCTGGGAACAATAGATGGCAAAAGAAGAAGGGGACAGCAGAAAATGAGGTGGCTAGATGGAGTCACTGAAGCAGTTGGCACGAGTTTGAGTGGACTCCGGGGGATGGTGGAGGGCAGGAAGGCCTGGAGGAATGTTGTCCATGGGGTCGCAATGGGTCGGACACGACTTCGCTACTAGCAACAAGTGATGTACCATTCCAAACATGTTCAGGTCGTGTTTGTTTGGTGTTTTTTCTTTTCAGACGTTAACCTCCCTTGCCAAGCTGATGAAAGAATGCTGGTATCATAATCCATCGGCACGATTAACAGCACTGCGTATCAAAAAGACCTTGACCAAAATTGATAATTCCTTAGAGAAGCTGAAAGCTGACTGTTGATAACAGCACAAGACAGAAAGGCTTTTGTGCAGCGTGGAAGTACAGCCTGATGAATTCTAGACTTCAGTCCCAAGCGGCTCCGTACATAGGCAACATTGTTTACCTAAACAGCCACTTGAGAGGACCACATGAGCCTTAAGTGGTGACTGTCCACGGCATTTTGCAAATGGTCAATCTATCAAGACTTAATGCTGGATCTATGGTGGCCTATGGAAGGAAGACAGGTCTTAAGACAAAATTGGGGCATTAAAACCATGGCTTTTAATTGCTTTTTTATTCCAGAAAAAGAAACAAAAAGTAAAGTGTCTCCTTGTTGCTCCCAAGTGAAACACATGGACGTGGTCAATTCTAATCAGCAACATTGCCTGCGCTTCTCTTCTTTATTGCACTAGGGGGTTATTTGCATTCCTTACTTGCACTGTTACTGTTTAATTTTAAAGACGTGACTTGCCAAAAATATAATTGGCTTTGTACTGATTGATCTGTGTTTTTGAATTTTAGGAAATCAGTTTGGAAATTTGAAGCTGTAACTGACTTTCTCTTTTTTATTTTTATTATTATTATTATTATTAAGCTGCATTTTACATATGTGTACTGTTTACAATAATGCTGGACACGAGGAATTATTGTTTATAAGGAAACATGCAGATTTTATTTATTTCTAGTGCACTTAACAGTTTTTTAAAAACTGAGGAAAGTGCGTATAGTTAAAGCTTATTTTTATGTGGCTTTTATCATTATTTCTTACAGAATTTTTTTTGTAACATGGTATAACCAGATGCAGTTCCCACTTCTCTCTTCTCCCTCCCATATTATCAAGTAGACATTTTAATCACCTTTTTAAGTGCTTCACATTTTATATGCGTGTGGTCTGTAACCTATATTTTCAGTTCAAAATATGCAGAACATTTATATATAAATATTATATATATATATATCTAAATATAAAGCCATTACCCAAATGATGCCACATCTAGTACCTTATTGATCTAGAGGAGGGGAGCAGCAGAGGAAATTGGTAGAATTGTAGGTCATGGATCTCAAGGGAAAGTGCATTTCTCTTCTAAGCTATACACAGCATGCATTTAAACTGCCGGGGTGGGGGGAGTTATTTTTTTAATTTACTTTTTTATATTTAGCAGTTATTTGTATAAACAAAATAGACTATTTTCAAGTCAAATGGCGGAAAGCGTTTCCCAAGTCTGTGTCAGTGCCTCCTACGGCTTCTAGGAAATGCCGTACAGTTTTGCATCACCAGCAGATCATCCACTTCTGACTCCCACCCTGTGCTATGTTTGCAAATCGGATATAATTCCAACAGACCCACCTGGTGGATGGGCATCTCTGAGGAGCACCAGAGCGGTCCCTTGTGTGGGTGGTGCTGACATCGGGCATCCATGCCGGAGCTGCAGAGACGTGAAGTGATTATGTATGGACAAATCAGATCATGTCGTTCTGACCATGCTGTTATTTTTTAAAAGTTTTTTTGGTTTTTAAATCTTGTGTTTCCTTAGTAAAGAGTTCTGATCCCAGTGCCTTGCCTTGCCTTATGCTACATAAGCTGTTCTACTCATGGAGCCCTCATAGGAAAAGCTAGAGACGCTGAATGTAACAGTGGTTGACCTATAACCATTAAACCAGCACAGTGCCACAAGCCTGACCAGAAGGAGGCTGAAGGAATTTAGTTTCAGAATCTTTTAGACCAGACTCAGCTATTTTAACTTCTTTTTCACCCCATTCTCTCTGTCTTGTGTGCTTTAACAGCCCTTTTGGAAAGAGTGTGCAAGAGCTTTGGTTGGTACAGTTGCTGTGCTCTGTGAAATGATTCTGCCGTTGTCACTGGATGAAGAAAATATTGTCCCTTATCTGAGATCGGGTAGGTCTGCCATCATTTGCCATAGTGAAGTTCATACAATATATGATCTGTTCGCACCTCCCTGGATATTCAAATGTTACCTTTGCAGTGTGAAATCTTGCCATGTGGATACCAAGCCTCAAGAGGCAACTCTTGAATCGATTGCATATTGGAACAGTCCCTTGCCCCCAAAATTTTGCATGTAGAAAGCTAGCCAAACCACCCCTTCCTGTATGCTGGTTTCCATGTGCAGAGAGACTTTTTCAGGGGAATATTTGGTCAAGCAAGCCTTGGGAGGGGTTGGTATCTTTTCTGTGATATATAGGACACTTGGGCAACTTTGGTGTGAGGAAGAAAAGGTAACATGGAAAGGAGTCCGCAGAAAACATATTCCATTATATTACTTCCAATACACGCACATTTTGAAGACTAAATTGCTTATTTCAATACGCAATGAATTTCTCCTAAGAATTTCTTCCAGAGGTTTCTTTTTGTTTGCTGACCAGCTCAAAGTGTGTTTATAATAAATGATCTTATACATGAATATTCCGTGCTACATATTCTTCTTTCAATTCTTTATTGGTGGTGGTGGTGGTGGTTCTTTCCAGGTATCAGTAGTAATGCACATAGCAATTAAATATTTCCCACCAATTTACCAAATGTACAAGATAGAATTTCAAATGCACCTAAAAGCAGGACTCTGGAGAGTCAAATATCCTTAAATATTTGGATATTTTGGGTGGACTTCAACTTCCATGCCAAGGTGCTTCTATCCGGGGCAGCTCAGGATTTCATGCTTCCATGGCTGTCTCAACATATCACTGGCCCAACCCATGAAAGAGGTCACACGCTTGACCTCATTTTCTCGATGGGGTGCGAAGAGGGTTGCCTGGAAGTGAGAAACTTGACCTTAACTCCTTTGTCATGGTCAGACCACTTCCTCGTGAGGTTTGTGCTCAGGGCCGATTCCTCCCTCTGGAAGGGTGCGGACCCTATTAGGATGGTCCGCCCTTGGAGCAAGATGGATCCAGATGGATTCCTGAAGCTTCCTGAGGGCTCTGGGGGATTTTCCAGCTGATAAAGCTGGCATTCCTGTTGATGTCCTGGTCGACTCGTGGAATAGGGAGATGACCGGGGCAATCGACATGATCGCTCCTTAGCGTCCTCTCCCACCTAGCAGAGCCCGCTTGGCACCATGGTATACACCTGAGATGCAGGCGATGAAGCAGGCTGGGAGACGATTAGAGCACAGGCAGATGAAATCTCGGGACGAATCTGACCGAACACACGCACTCATTATCAAGCCTATGCTGTGGCAGTGAGGGCGCCAAAGAGGCAGTTCTCCGCTTGCACTGTTTCCTCACAGTGCCATCCGACAGCTTTTCTGAATAGTGTGAGGCCTAACACACGCTGGCCAGGAAAATGACATGGTCGCACCTTCAGCAGCCCACTGTGATGACTTTGCCCACAGCGTTAAAATTCTGTGGGCCTCAGACATCTACTTTAGGTAGTGTGGGAGATGAGTATTAGATGGGGAATAATTAAAAAGAAATGGGACCTCAAAGATACAGACAACAACATTTTAAAATTTATGGAAGAACTGCGCTAATAAAAAGTTTCAAAATTTGGAAGGATATGCTTCAGCCAAAACATACAAGCAATAGGGTAAAAACAATTATCATGGAAGCATGCATGTGGCTAATCTAACGAAACTGCCCATATTTTATTCTGTTTCCTTATCAAAGCAATATCTTGTTGAGTCTCAACTGTTTGTTCAGTTCTAGGAGATATTGACTCTTTCTGACCTTTCCTTCCTTCTCCCTGTTTCTTTTTCTCCTCTGCTTTAGGTTTTTACTTCTTCACCTTCGCTGAATGTCCTTTTCCTATTCTTTTCCCACAACTTTCCATTTTGCCTCCAGCAAGCTTTTGGCTTTCTAAGTTCTATAATGTTTAACTACACTTAAAACTTTGGGCTGAAAATGATTGGTGCATTGCACATGCTTTGTCTACATAATACACAAAAGCCAAGCTAAATACAAAAATGGAAGGCCATTGTTCCTTCACACCTTTATGCCCTATTAATATAGATGTGTGTGGTGCTTCAACTGCATGGATATTTATAATAAATGCTACATTATTAAAAAAAATAAATTCTAATTCTAATCTAAGCAAAACATTAAATTTGATTATGATCTCATAAAAATATTGAATCATTAAATTATTGAGACACCTTTTAATGAATATAAATTAAAAATGAGATCTATATGTCCTAATATGAATAGGAAAGAATAAATTAAAAAAAAACCCTTCCTAGTCTTCAAAAACCATTATGTGGCATAGATTGTGTTTATAATACATTTTGACTTGTTGAAAAGAATCCCACATAATTACAGGTGTAAATGGTGAGATACTAAAGAAGATCTTGACTTACTCAGGTTCTTCAATATTACATTCTTGATTGCATTAGTTTTCTCTTTACATTTCTACTACTAACTAATGTTTGGTAATGCAAATTCTCTCATCTACATGGTATGTAGATTTCATGAGCCATGAAATCTCTGGGTTTGAAAAGAATGTCTTTATAATGAACTGCAAAGTCATGAAGAATCACCAATGGTAGGATCAAAACAAGAAAATACGAAAAGCTGCAATAATATTCACCATAAATTTGCAAATTTAATGAACACTTCTTTTGATATCTAAAAAATTCTATTAAATTATTAAAATTACTGTCAGTTCTGAAAATATCTGATAGTCTTCTGCCTTCAATCTTCTATCTGTATAGATACATTTTGGGCTATATATCTATACAGGCAATGAAACTCACCTATAGTCTACTCCTGTGCAGCTCAAAACATCATCTTTAATGAAACCCAACTGATTAAAAACTAATAATTGATGGTTGGGATGGGAAAAATTTAATTGATATGTAAACACAATGCAATGCCTTCATGTTGCAATCTAGAGCGGCAGCACAGGACCAAGCCTGAGAGAGGTTTTCCTCCAAAGTGAAAAATAAAATAAAATTCTTCAGGACAACAAAATGCATGGTAGCAAAGCCTGATTCATTGCTAACAAGTGGATAGAGAAAAAACTAGAGCAATTATTACTGCAAAGCTTAGGGAGCAATAAACATAATTCCTGATTGAATCCCTATAATTCCTATTGATTTTGTATCCTGATTGAATTCGATTATTAATCGAACATCTTGGGTTTATACACACACACACACCTCACCAACCCCATAATTATGCATTTTAGATACTTTCAGTATCTTTTCTCATCTGACCAGCCAATATTTCAATACTTACATTAAACAATAGAGCAGACGATGTGCATTCTTATCTTGCTCCCTGTTATGGACTGACTACTATTTTTTTCTTGACTGACCCCTTGATAAGGATTCCTCCCAACGCCTAAAAAATATTGCTAGGCTGGCACCAATCCGAATGACTCCCCCAACACACCTCAGTCCAGGGGTAACCTGTGTGATGTCTGCAGCCATCAGTGTCCTCCAGGCATCTTTCTTGCTACTAACCAAAACCCCCTACTCCTCCTACTTAGGGAAAAAATATTTTGTTTTTAAACAAGCAGCTAGAATCATTTAAAAAGTAAAATGAGGGACAGCAGCACTGCCATCATCATTTCCCATGAATGTGTCTGGGCTGAAGAGTGGGCCTTGATAGAGGAAACGAAGATGGCGAGCAGATACATGCTAAACTGCCATCAAGCCTAATCCCCTGAAGGCCATTCCCATTCTGCCAGATGCTCCTGACTGTCACCTGGGTTCCCATATTGCTTTCCAAGTATTGGGAGGTGTCCTATAGTGCCCCGGCACCTCCACTGGCTCTCTTGAACTCCTCTGCAGCAAAAACTAGTCCTGGAAACAAGCAGCCGTGCTTGTTTCTGGAAAAGAGCAGGCCCAGGCAGCCCTCCTTCGTGTGCTCTGCTGCCCTGCATCCCTATCCAGAAGTGAGTGTGGCTGCATTTCGGGCTTTGGAGTCGTGGCTTGCCTACCAGCTCTGTAATCTGCCAAAACAATGCACAAACAATTCACCATTCTGGGTTTACAAATAACAACTCATATTTAAAAAAACAACACCCTATTTCCTAGAACAAAACAAGTCAGAGTACAGGTTGACTATGAATTGTTGATTAATTATGCACTTCTGTGGTTGCGTAAACTCATCCACATTCATGAATAATGGTTTGTTAACCATGGACAACCCATGAAAAGAACTCACTTTTGTTGATGGGTTATGCACTGTATGTTGTTTGTGATTAACATAGTATGGTTTGTTAGTACCACTGTATTCACACATCTGTGAACATATGATCCTAAAACACACCCTGGGTTATATGAGGGTTGTTTAACCTTCAAGTAACTCCCCTTGGCTGCATTCATAGAACACTACAAGCGATGTAAGGTAGGGGTTGTGGGGAAGAATTGGCACCACCACTTATTTTGACCCATTTTCTCACATTGCAGCGAGACAGAATCGAGCGCCTTTAAGTGGGCAAAATATTGCTGGAGAATCGATAGCAGCTACACAAGATACTGATGATATTTATATTCTCAGAGCCACACAGAAAAGCACTCTTTGAAACATATTTATGTATTTGTGATTATATCTGTATCTCACCTTTTTCCTTTTAAAGGAACGCAAGGCGGCATATGTAATCCCCTTCTCCTCACAATCTTAGCCTCACAACAGCCCTGTGAGATAGGTTGGGCTGAGCAACTGTGACTGGCCCAAAGTCTCACCCAGCGAGCTCCGTAGCTAAAGGGGGACTAGAACCCAGAAACCCTGAGTCCAAGTTCCTGAGTACTCTTAACCACAACACCACACTGGCTCTCTCTCTCTCTCAAGAGTGCTGCTGCTGCATGTATGTATGTACGCATCATACTTATGTTTATTTTCCACTTTTTTCCCACAAGGAACCCAAGGTGGCTTACAAAATCTCCTCTCCACAGACAGAGGTGTCTACAGTGCTGCTAAGCAAAGCACACCATGCAAGTTCTGGGCATCCAGGCATACATCCCAGCCATCCCTTTGGGCAACTGAAAACACAGCGTGCACAGTATAAAATATAAATCCATTTCGTAAAGGCCCAATCAGAAGCCAAAAGGACTGGATTACTCAGGATTTCAATGGTATTCACCAGCCAGACTAAAATCATGCGGGAATTCTTCTTTAAATAACTAACAAGCACAACAAAACCCACTCACCCCTTCAAGCAAGTGTAATGGCTTTTAAAATGGCCAGCCAGTCCTAGGCACACTTGCCTTACCATTGCACTGGGGGGGGGGGGGGGTTGGGGGGTTGTTGCAAGTCCAACCCTAACCCTAACAGTCGAGCACAGAGGAATTGTGCTCTTGCAGTAAAATCTGTATTCAGTCAAATAATGAGGTCCCCCACTCCCCCCAGCAAAGCACGCAAAGACCCTGTTGCCCATAGGACTGCTGCCCTGCTCTCCCTGCACAAATACAGCCCTTCCTTAGGTTTCTTTCAGCCTGGCAAATCTGAGGATTCTAGGCTTGGA